ATTAATGTTAATTTCCTTACAATTATACTATTAAATCACCTATACAAAGTATTTCTTTATTTTAATCTAATCAATTATCTTTCACTTGTTCTTTAAGAATAGCTATAGATCTTAATAAGGTTTAAATTAGGAGAGTTTGCAGATCAGAATATCTGGTATTATGCAATCTTTTTTCACTTCATAAAATTTTGATTTCCATAACTCTATATTGCAAGATTTATCATCGTCATCTATTTTGCAATAAAACTGTAGTGTTCAACTGGCTTATACTATCTCATGAATGCTAAATAATGTATTTTAGGTTCCTAGTAGATAAACTGTGTATTTGAAAAAGAACTAGATTTGACTGGAGTATATATCAGAAGTATCATCATTTATAAAGAAACAAGCCAATATTTTTGCTGATTTAGCATGTCAAGAAGATAATGTCGACCTAAATATTTCTGTTCCAATTCTTAATCAGCTAAATAGATTAACATTCAGATTGATAGGAATAGAAGATTCTGTAGCTTTATAAATATGTAATAATGTAACAAATTTTTTATTGTACATATTACAATAAAATTCAGCCAATAACTGTTGAAATTCTTGCTGCAATGTTACATTTTTTTTAATGGGCCTAAAAAAGAACCTGAAAATGATTCAAAACTATAAGCTGCACCTTTTTTTGTTGTTTTTGTTAACAATAAGTAAAATGTTCAATATTCTTTATCAGGATATTCATCATATGTTGAAAGACTTCTAATTAAATCTTTCAGTTTTAATATTTCAAGATTTCTTGAAGATGCTGATTTTGTTTGACATGAGACATTAATTCATCCAGAAGAGCATTATTTTGAATATTTTTCATAAGCTCAGGCCCAATTCTTCTATGGCTATTTTAAAATGATCCTAAAAAAATATTATATATTAGTAAATACCGGTATCAAATAATTATATTAAACAGATGATTATCTATCAATCCATTCATTCGTTCTATAGAGAAACACTAAAAAGGTGTACAGAGATCCATAATCTAACATGCATTTACATAAATGTATGCATAAATGTAAATTAAGAGTAATTTTCTTAGGTCCATATATTCGTTAAATTTTTTTAATCATTTCTATAAGACGTTGGTGAGCTTCTATCAAATTATTTTTTGATACTAATCTATATACCAAAATATTGCAGGCGCAGATAAAGTTTATGAGAATTTTTCGATCAGCTTCTTCCAGAATATTCCAAGTAATGGTTGTTACATATATTAATATATATATTTTCCACTAGTCAGTAAAGAAGCTAGAAAAGCTTCTCTTGTATCTATTTTTCTTGGAAGCCTACCAATATCAGTAGGTACTTGTATTTTATTAGCTCTCTTTTGCATAACTGTAAGATCAACTATTGTTAGCTTATTTTCTTCAATCCATAGTCTCATTACAATCCATTTTGCAATTTTAAGAAAAAGACAGTGCATAGGATCGATGATGAAAAATCGTATAGGATTAAAGTAAGGTAAATGATGTATTTTGAATTATCATACAAGGGTTTCAGACACATGCTTTTATCTTTGTTTTTCTGATTTGCAATTTTTCCATTCAAAAGCATTATTTTTAACATCTTCGATGTTTCTTTCTATAAATTAGCTATTTATATTGTCCAATTTGCCAAAATTCGTCTGCTTTTTATCATCAAAATTAGCATGTTTAAGATATCTATGATATGTAATTTTCGCAGAGATAAACCCGCAAAGCTTTCTTGCTACAGGTATATTATAAGAATAATAAATAATGACTCCTTTAATTATTTTTCCATTAGGATGTTCAAAAGTTTTCGATAAGTCTATTCCCTTCCATAAATTAATTAATTGATCAACTAAAGGTGCTAAGTAATGATTTAGTTGATGTAGTTTTAGTTCTTTTAGATCTGAAATCAATGCTAACATTAATATATTAAATGGTTTAAATCGTTCACTTCAAGATAAATTGCATATTATTACATAAATTGTATTTATGCTATAGATGCCTACCGAAACCTCCTTAAAATAATTTTGTTATACCCTTTTCTATGTTTTTAATATAGTTTCGACAGTTTCAGCTTTCGTCGTATTGAATGGATTTCGTCGTATCCCT